ATTCAAGTGGATGACCTCGAAGGTTCATTGCAGTTGTTAACTCGAAGAAGTTCTAAGGTAAAAGTTAGCAGTCATGACCGCGCATGATGCGGTATGTTTGTATCCGCCCGCCTCGTGGCAGCCTGTGCCTTGAAATAAAGAGCTCAGTATTCGATAGTCCTGCTTCGGAGGATGCTTACCGTGGTGTGTTCACAAGTTTTTTTCGTAGGCCTTTGACGAGCAATGCCACCACAGTTCCATTTTTAGCGTTTCGCAGTTTCTAAAAGAATTTTTAGATGGTTATCCAAATTTCCTCAAAGCTTACTTTTCTAAATACTTTTTTCGAATTTATAGCCCAGGTTTGCCTACACTTAAATCGAAGTGTGATTGTGAAATACTTAGGACGATGTATGTACTCTATTTTCGAGGCAGTTGTTAAAATATTTTCAGTGTGCAAGAAGCCTAACAAATAAACTGAAGATTTACTTCGTATATATTCTAGCTTTAGTACCAACAGACTCACCAGTCATCCGTCAGCAGGGACGTCTGACACGGTACGAAGAAGACCTACGAATTTCTACGGATTTTCAGCATGACCCTATCGCAAGTCATCATGCATTAATTCCTTGTTATCTTCCAGTCACCACTTCCGCAAAGTCAGTAGTACGACCTGGTGTTTTGACTATGCAGATTGTTACTATTATTCAATTCAAGTTCAATTATTTTTATTAAAGACCCGTCGGGGGTCCCTGGCACTTAAAATAACGTGGGGCCTATGCACACACGACTGTTGTCTCTAATACCAACGTGGCAGATAAGGAGAGCACGACCCACCACGGAGAAGTGTATTAGGACACCGCAAGTCAAGTCTAACTGGAAAGTAACGCATATATTTAAAACCCTACTGTGGTTCGCCTGCATTCGGCCCAATGCATTACGAGAAGAAAATACTAGACGAGCTGATCGATACATCGAATATACGGATCGGTCAGTCCCACAGGGAGCAGCCAGTAGTTGGGTCTCAGTGTCATGCTTTCAGCGCTCTCGAGAAAACGCACGTGGTCTCCAGTGATTGACTGGCTCTTGTTTTTGGGAGTGTAGGTACTCCCAACATTAAAAAAGGATTAGCTAGTGACCCTACAAACACTCTAATTTGGCACAGTATTGTGAAATAAAGATCGAAATTTTTGCTAGGATTTATTGCGATATCGTAACAGAAGGTCATCTCGATCTCATTCCACTGAAAACGATTAACTCTAGTGCCGATTCATAAAAGCAGACTTAACAGCCAAGGAATCAGCTTAAATATCCTTCCATGAGCTCGCTATCAGTTCACGTAAGAATCGCTGAAATATTTGAATTAATCTCGAAATTCAGGCTCGCGCGGGGTAAGCCTAAAGAATATGAGTTATTGGCGATGCGGATTCATCCAGATCTGTTGATCAGATTTTCGTCAACGATCATCGCTGGGTCCCGTCAAAGTATTCCGCCTTTGCTAAGTTCCAAAAATACCTTCATTAGAGAGGACCGGAAAAAGCAGACCTGTTAAATCAAATCCTTGCCGAAAAATCTCAATTGAATCTAACCCAATCCTCAAAATTTTTCCGCTGTTTGACGCCTCCCTCACCACCATTAATATTGCTACTGCGAATATTCAGAAACTGAAACGCTAGCTTTCTAACCCGCGCACAGTTTGAGCGGACAACGTCTTAAAATCTCATACAAAACGGCTAAGAGCTTTCGTATACTTAACAAACCCTCTTCAGTATTTCTCGTAAATTGTTTCTTTCCTAACCATTGAAATACTTCTATTATTATACCAGTATTTAAACCTGCCTGTCGTTCTGACGTTGAAAACAATCAACGTGTCCATTAAAGACATTCTCACGTTAAATTCTCTGAAAAAATTATCGTCTTAAAAGTTGCCGACTCTTGCGTCGTCAATCAAGTTATAAGTCCTTCCCAGCATGCTTTTTTACCGGATTGCTCTTGTAAAGAGCAACTTAACAGTGTGTGAAAGGACCGACAAGATTTCTAACGACACAAAGGCAATTTGGCTGACTACAAAGGCACGGGGTCTCAATCCCTCGAAGTCGTATATCTCTACCGGCCCCCTAAGGCGGATCCCGACTCAGACATTTGTCTACTGGAAAGCATAAAACAGATCGCCAGTCGACCAGACGTTGTTCTCATGGGGGATTTTAATGCACCCTGCATTCAGTGGAGCGATATGCATGCGAAGTTCTCGAATAATGCCTTCGGTTACCATCTACTAAAGACAACCCTAGAAGCTCTTCTCACGCAACGTGTCCTATCTCCAACTAGAGCACGTGGATGTCAACAGGCTAGTTGTCTGAACCTCGTCTTCACCAATGATCCTGACAGTAAAGACGAGGTGTACTACCTATCCCCGCCAGGTCGAAGTGATCATACAGTACTTTTATGGGAGTACTAGCTGTATTCTGAACCGTATAATAAAGAGGATACGAGGCCGAATATATGGAAAGGGGACTTTTGCCAAATGAGAGCTGAGGCATCGCAAGTAAACTGGGATGTTCTCTTCTCCGGAAACGTTTACTGAGGACTGCAATTTATTTAAGGGTTGTTTATAGCATCTAATGAAGAGCCACTGTCCCGTATCAAATCCTAGGACATCCAACCGCCCTCAGTGGCTAACACGAGAACTAAAAACGGAGATCAACAAGAAAGGAAGATTGTGCAAGAAATTTAGGGAAAACAACAACATTGCAGCGTTTACAGAGTATAAATTTCAAAGAAATATGGTGAAAAGCCTGATTTTCAGGAGGCGAAGGGATAACGAGAGTAATTTGCATCATTGAGCCGTTAAAAGTCAGAAATTGCTCTACAGCTATTTGCGGAAGAGCACACGTAACAGGAATCCAATTCCTGTCATGAGGATTGATGACGGTTTGGAGATATCTGACATAACGAATAAAGCTGAGCGTATTTCTCAATTATTCCAGTCCCTTTTCACAAGAGAGGCAGACTTTATTCCCACTAGTTCCGAGAACATGGGAGATCCCACTATCGAAGATATCGTGTTTCGTGAATCAACGATTTTGGAAGAACTAAAAAGCTTGAAGGAATGTAAATCTCCCGGTCCGGACGAGATCCCAGCAAAGCTGCTTTTCGAGCTTCCCGAGAGCTGGCCAAACCGCTATCCAATTCAATTCAATTCAATTATTTTTATTAAAGACCCGTCGGGGTCCCATCAAAGCATGTAAAAATAAATTTACATGCAAATTTTAGACGATGTAGGCAAAATCTGCACAAAGTGCAATGCATAGTTTTTGAGATTAGAAGTCCGTTAAGCAAAATGAAAATGAAAAAAAATGAAAAAAACGAGGGGTTAAAAAAAACTCCAAAGTAAAATTTAAAAATGATTGTAGTAATTTAACAGGAGAAAAAAAACCCTCAGAAAAATAGCATCAGAATAAAACAGGGAGGACTGGCCTGCATGTGGCGGTACAAAATGGAATATAGTCCGACATCAACATGGCCGAAATAAATGTCAGCTGTATATGGCATTGCGTA